AAATAGAAATTATTTTATACTTTTTAGTGCATTTCGAAGTCGGCGTATTTTTTTTCTAAAAATTATTTTATCTGGTATCTTCAAACGTTATTGTGTTTTCTGGTATCTTAAATTAAATAATGTCCCATATTCCATCAGTCGGGTTAGGTCATATTATGTTAGGACAGGGCCCAGGATAAGGTCGGATTATGTTAGGTCAGGTTGTATCAGGTTAGGTTTGGGGACCTAACACATTTATTTCCCCAATTACTGGACAATAATTACTCTATGATAAGAGTAATTATCCCTATTACTCTTATTATTTTCAGTATAATCTATTATTACTCATACTACTATTGTTATTATGGTTAGAACAATTAGTATTATCCTTATTACTCCTATTATTATCAATATAACATATATTATCACCAATATTACGACTATTATCATCGCTGGAACTGTAATTATCCTTAATACTCTTATTATTATCAATCTTACTACGCATATTACTACTTTTATTATCATTATCCTTATCATTCTTATTATTATCAATATTACTACGCATATTACGGCTATTATCATCGCTGGAACTGTAATTATCCTTACTACTCTAATTATTATCAATATTATTACGCATATTACTAGTTTTATCATCATTATCCTTATTATTCTTATTATTATCAATATTATTACGCATATTACAACTATTATCATCGCTGGAACTGTAATTATCCTTACTACTCCTATTATTATCGATATTATTACGCATATTACTACTTTTATTCACATTATCCTTATTATTTATGTTATTATCAATATTATTTCGCATATTACTACTTTTATCATAATTATCCTTCTTATTCTTATTATTATTCCTATTATTATGAGTTTTATTACGCATATTACGACCATTATCATCGCTTCAACTGTAATTATCCTTAGTACTCTTATTACTATAAATATTATTACGCATATTTCGATTATTATCATCGCTGGAACTGTAATTATCCTTACTATCCTTATCGTTATCAATATTATTCCGCATATTACTACTTTTATCATGATTATCCTTATTATTCTTATTACTATCAATATTACTACGCATATTACTACTTTTATCATCATTATCCTTATTATTCTTATTATTGTCAATATAACCTAAATTATTACATATATGACTATTGTTATAATAGTTAGAACTATAATTATCATTATAATCGCTCTTTTTATTATCAATTTAACCTATATCACTACCAATATTGCTACTTCTATTATCATTATAACTATTAGTGATAGTAATAATCTAGTTTTAATATAAATAATCCTTATGACTCGTATTACTATGGGCGCAACTATCATTATTATCCCTACTACTGCTGTTACTATCAGTCAGGGATAAAGGTTAGGTTATATTGGGTTAGGTCTGGGCCTAAGGTTAGGTAATATTGGGTTAGGTCTGGGCCTAAGGTTAGGTAATATCAGGTTAGGTCTGGGCCTAAGGTTAGGTTATATCAGGTTAGGTCTGGGCCTAAAGGAACAAATATAGGACAACTAGAAAGAAGGAACAAATATAGGACAACTAGAAAGCATAATACAGAAACAACAATAGCAGTCAGAATACCGTTTGCGGGGGCGGGGGCGGAAATAACGAATATAGCTTAGCGAACAGAGTTAGACTTACCCTACATACTTACCTTTAATACCAAGTCGACAGCGACACATAGGTGCGAAATGGTGGGGAGAGGTCGCGGTTTCTTGCCGTATGTTCTCGCCCACCGAGAGGAGGCGCCGAGTGGACGTTACAAGTTCAGCTGGAGATCGGTGCTACACGCACGGGAGTCTCCCCTAGTTCTTGACGTGCCTCTCGGGTCAAATCTCTTTGGTTGAGGGCATCCATTCCTCACACATGGAACACATTCGCGAGGGGTGGGGGGAGAGTCCTTCTTTCACAACAGCGAGCGATGGCCTAGACCAAGGGGACTATGTCGTTTACGATACGGGAGCCTTGGCGGGTTGCCGCCACCCTCCACCCTTGTGGTGGGGGCGGGAGACAGTTTTAGTGAGTAGGCCGTGGAAACCGGGTCTGGGCCCAAGGTTAGGTTATATCAGGTTAGGTCTGGGCCCAAGGTTAGGTTATATCAGGTTAGGTCTGGGCCCAAGGTTAGGTTATATCAGGTTAGGTCTGGGCCCAAGGTTAGGTTATATCAGGTTAGGTCTGGGCCCAAGGTTAGGTTATATCAGGTTAGGTCTGGGCCCAAGGTTAGGTTATATCAGGTTAGGTCTGGGCCCAAGGTTAGGTTATATCAGGTTAGGTCTGGGCCCAAGGTTAGGTTATATCAGGTTAGGTCTGGGCCCAAGGTTAGGTTATATCAGGTTAGGTCTGGGCCCAAGGTTAGGTTATATCAGGTTAGGTCTGGGCCCAAGGTTAGGTTATATCAGGTTAGGTCTGGGCCCAAGGTTAGGTTATATCAGGTTAGGTCTGGGCCTAAGGTTAGGTTATATCAGGTTAGGTCTGGGCGCATGTCACCTC